AAGGAGAGATGGGGGTAAACACACCATAGCCTTCACTCAACCAGACCCGATCCCCAGCCACCTTTATCTGACTCAGCAGCTGGGGCACACCAACAGCGCTGCAAACATGTACGTATCGTGTGTGGTGTGACCTCATGATGGCTACATCCCTGGCCATGAAACACTCTAATTATCTTACAGAGTCTTACTCTGTGTGGCCTGTGGTTGACCAAGACATCTTGTGACTAGTTCGGGACAGTGGCATGTGCAAATGCCAAAGAAAGCATGAGCTGGCCATGGCTGTCCATGGCTGTTAGACTTTCGTGAACATGACTTTGCGTCTGTTCTGCCCCAGCACTGCCAAGCTGCCCTGTGAATTCTATTTTCTCTTCTGCTAGCAGAGGGCTTTTTGCAGGCTCTGCAGCGGAGCCCTCAGCCAGCAGGGAGCTCTCTCTGTCAGCGTTTCTATCTGATCTCCTGCATGTGGAAAATAAATGCATGAACTTGATGCCTGTGCTAAGTTTTATCCTTATAGTTGCTTTATCCAATGGAAAATGAAAGGCTGAGAATATTGATATGGTAATTTGGTGGGTCGTTGGGTCAGCTAAATGCCACCTCGTTCAGACCAGGTGTGGAAGTACTTGCCTATAATCCTAGCCCTCAGAAGGTGGAGCCGTGTATCAAGGTCATCCCCAGCTGCTTGAGGCCAGCCTGGGCTGCAGAAGACTTTGTCTCAAACCCAAGACAAAACAAAGCCCAGATTTTTGTTTGCGAAGCTCAGAGGGTTACTTGTAAGAGCGGTAACAGCCATACTCTGTCTATGACAAATTGCTTGCGTAGTCACTGTTCTATTGCTGCGAGAAGACTCTGTGACTAAGGTGACTTAGAAGAGGAAAACATTTAATTGGGGCTTGCTTACAGTTTCAGAGGGTGAGCGCATGACCATCATAGTGAGAAGCGTGGTGACAGACCAGTGTGGTGCTGGAGCAGTAGCTGAGAGCTCACAGCCTGATTGGCAGGCAGCAGAGAGGAGCCTGGCCGGCATTGGTTTTTGAGATGTCACAATCCACCCTCAATAGCACAACTCCTCTAACAAGGCCACACTTTCTGATCCTTTCCAAACAGTTCCACTAACCAGAGATCAAGCACTCAAACACAGGAGCCTATGGGGCCATTCTCATTCAAACACCACAGCCTGCCCAGCGGTGGTGGCACACGCCTTTAATCCTAGCAGTTAGGAGGCAGAGACAGGTCTCTGTGGGTTCGAGGACAGCCTGGTCTACAGAATGAGTGCCAGGACAAGCACCAAAGCCACAGAGAAACTCTGTCTTGAAAAATCAAAACAAAGAAACACCACCGCGCTGGAAACAACTTGAAAGCCCTGAGAGTGGACTTCCGCGCTGAGATGAGAGTAGGTAAACTATACCCACAGGCCATGGAAACGTGACTGAAAAAAGCACAGCATAGAACACATAGAAACCATTTAGGAAGCTCAGAGACCAAGTCAGGTCACAAAAGAAGAGGCCTGTGGGGAGGAGGTGGGGGCTTGTCTCTTAAAGGGGCAGGACAGACCATTACACTAGCTTTGAGGGACATTCTGGGTGTTTTATACTTTATAACTCTCATGAATACTGCACATAGTAGTTTGCATGTGTACTCTGTGTAAATATGAAATGTTAAGGGTATATCATTGAGGAGTACGCATGAATGTTTGCTAGAACCAAGGCCTTTGGAGACCCTGGGAAGCCTTCCCTCACACTGTCAGAGGGCTTGGGCTCCTGCGGCTCTGGGTGTCACCACTCAGGTAACACTGTGGGCACTGTGTGAACCCTGCCGCAGAAGCTGCATTTCCCATAGGTGGAGGCCCTCTGGTGCCCAGGCATGCCCGCCTCCCAACCTGGTGTTGGAACCTTGAATGCTGGTTGGTACAGGGAAGGCTTTCTTACTATGGGCCAGAGAGGTCTAGGGAACCTCCTCAGACTCAACTGGCTACAAGATGACAAGCTGCTAGTTTTAAAAATTTAATTTAATTTTATCTTAGTGAGACAAGGTCTGAGACTTTGGAATCCTGGCTGTTCTAGAGCTCACAGAGACCCACTTTGCCTCTATTAAAGGTTAATGTGGGTGGTGTGGGCCACGCCTTTGATTCCAGCACTCTGGAGGGAGAAGGCAGGTGGATCTCTGAGTTCCAGGACAGCCAGGGACACAAAGAGAAACAGTGTCTTAAAAAAATCAAAGAAGAAGGTAGAGGAGGAGGAGAAAGAGGAGAGAAGGAGGAAGGAGGAGAAAGGAAGAGAAAGGAGAAGGAAGGAGGAGGAAAGAGGAGGAAGGAGTAGGAAGGAAGAGGATGGAGGAGGGAGGAGGAGGAAGGAGGAGGATGGAGGAGGAAGAAGATTAACAGTGTCCTCTTATTTCTTTAAAATAATTTATTTTATTTTTATTCTTGCATACATGTCTATAAGTGTATGCTGTGTGTGTGGGGCGGTTTGTTTGAAACTGGCTCAAGTTATAGGCAGTTGTGAGCTGCCCTATGTGAGTGCTAGGAGAACTTGGGTCCTCAGAAGAGCCGCCAGTACTCTTAACCACTGAATCTCTCCAGCCAAAGTCTAAGACTCAAGAGGTAAAGAGAGAAAAGCAAAGTGTCCTACCATCTTCCAGATGGTAAAGTTGGAAGGAGTCATGAACGACATCCGCGTAGGCAGGCCCTTGATTCTCTGATGCAGGGTACTTGAACATGGCCACTGGCTGCTGGGGACAGTCAGGTGGCCCTGGCTTGACAGTTGTAGTCTATTTGTGTAAGAAAGAACAGGCCAAGCACCAGAAAAAACCTCTTTCCAAGGAAGAAATCTTTGGAGGTCAAAGAGAGACTCTTGTATTTATCCTCAGTGTCTGGAACACACAGAGGGACATGAGGTCAGACACTCTGGCAGTGGGTGGCTTTTTTGAATCCTTGGCTGTTGGGAGCTGTAGATCCCTGGCCCCTTGATTTTCTCTGAGCAGGAAACCCTTATGGCAGGCTGGTGGGCCTGCAGCTGAAAGATCCCTGTATCTGCTGCCCCTGAGCGTTCTTGTGTCAAGGATGACCTGTGTCCCTGTGTGTGTGTGTGTGTGTGTGTGTGTGTGTGGTTTTAAGTCTCCAGCTTACTCCCTGGCAGTCCCGTAGTGGTGCGAGAGCTACAGGACCGTCTTTGTTTGGCGTTTTATACTTGGCCAGATGTGTTGCTGCTGCTTGGTGACATGACGTTAGACATTTGGTTTGAAGAGTCACATATGCCTGACCTGAAAAGGCCACGTTTCCTAGACTCCGTCTCCCCAGCCAGTGTGGATAATTTAACCAGGCACTTGGTCTCATTTTTATGTTAGATTCTCTGAGTTCTTAATCTGAACTAAGGACTAAGTAGGCTGAGACTCCCCAGGCTAGCCTTTGGTGCTCTCCTTGCCTCAGGCTCCCAACTGTGGGGTTACAGACCTGAGTCACGGTGCCTGCCTGACTCGGTGTTTCTTAAATCTTTAATCTCCTTTTTCCTCGTGTGTAGCCCCCCCTTTTTTTTTTTCAGGGAATGAAAGATGTGTTGTTAGTTTTTACTTCCCAACTTGGTTCCTAGAATAAAAACAACTGTACCCAGATGTTTATAAGATAAGTGGGTGTTTAGATTCCTGGTTGGAGCAGAGAGAGTCTGAAGCCTGTCCAAAGCCTTGGCCCTTTTCTCCTTGCAAATACTAATTCTCTGTGTTGGTTTCCACCTATAAACTGGGCCCATGTGCACCCTGCGACACTGAGACTTCTTTTGCGTTTGTGCATGCTGGGTTCCTGCTTGGTATTCTTCCCTAGGTGAATTCATTTGTGCCTTTTGTCAGTTTGCAAGAGGGTGACCACCGTGTGCCAGGCACTATTCTAGACACTCACATAAAATAGGGTGCTTGTTTTTGTGGTACCTGGAGTCCTTTTTTCTTTTTTTTAAGTTAGGGAGTAGGTTTTTCTTTATTGTATGTGTTTTGTTTTATTTTGTTTTGAGACAGGATTTCTCTGTGTAGTCCTGGCTCCCCTGGAACTTACTCTGTAGACCACGCTGGCCGCTGGCCTTGAACTCAGAGATGTACCTGCCTCTACCTCTTGAGTGCAGGGATTCAAGGCATATATCACCACCGCTCAACTTATTTTTAATGTTTATTTAATAATAAAACATGAATACTAATATTATTGTGTGTATGGGGTGCGTGTGTGCCAGCCATAGCGCACATGGGCTCAGAGGATGACTTTGGGACTTCGTTATCTTTGTCCACCTCGGGTCCTTGGGCTTTCATGACAAGCGTCTGTACCTGCTGAGCCATCTTGCTGGCTCTGTGGTAAAGTCTTGAGGTAAAGACAGATTTGCGTTTGGTTGTGTGACAGAGTGGGGAAGCCCATACAAATACGGGCTTAGGTCCAGCTACGACTAGGGAAGAGCGCTGAGGGAAGGGTGTGAGGCTGAGACCTGACATACACAGGATTTTCTGCTGTGGAGATGGTGTGGGACAAGGAAGGGGAGTATTAGGACCCAGGCAGAGCACAGCAGAGAGAGCGACACTCTGGACCTTCCCAGTTGGTGGTGAGAGGAGGCCCAGAGGCCAGGAATAGGTGGAAGGCGCCCTAGGCCCTTCGGAGCATCTGGATCTTCCTTCTGTGGGCAGAAACTCTTTTCTGTTTCAAGAGTAGCTCTGACTGACTCAGAACTTTCTATGTAGACCAATTTGAGACCTCAGCCTCGATCTCACAGAGATCCACCTGCCTCTGTCCTCCAAGTGCTGGGATTAAAGGTGTGCACCACAGCTGTCTCCATGAAGGGTTTCTAATCAAGGGAGCAGGGTTGCTTGCTGGGTCATGGCTTGAGAAGGTACACTCTAGCAGACAGCTGGGTGGTCTGGGAAGCCAGGCAGATGTGATATAGGCTGGACCAAGGGAGGCCTTTGATATCTCCAAATCACTAGCAACGTCCCATTTTCAGGTTGCTGTGGCTCATTCTGTGTATTTTCTTCTCCAGAGGTGGCAAACAATACGGTGATTAGCCTGCCCGGGGCCACCGTCACCCTGATCTGCCCTGGGAAGGAAGCAGAAGGCAACACCACCATTCAGTGGGCGTACTCTGGCTCGCAGCACAGACGGTGGACTACCACGGGGAACTCACTGCTTCTGAGGGCAGTGCAGCTCAATGATACGGGCAACTATTTATGCTTCCTGGATGATCACCTGGTTGGAACTGTGCCCTTGCTGGTAGATGGTGAGTTTTGCCCTCAGTGACCTTGGAGTTGGCTCCTTGGCAGCTCCAACGTCCTTAAACACGCCCCTGCATTCCAGAGAGGCTCCCCGATATATCCTTTAAGTTAGTTGCTCCTGGAAAGAGGCCACTGCTCTGCCTGTGATTTGAGGACGTGGCTGGTGGTGGACGCTGGCTGGCAGATTTATTAGTGCTGGACTCACAGCCAGGCATCTGGGCTCACCTCCTGCTGCATCCCTCAGATGCCTCTGGCAAAATAAAGTGAATGTCATCATGTTTGTGTAGAGTGTTGACAAGATTAAGAGTGTGAGGGTGAAAATTCTGCCCAGCCACACATGAAAGCCTCAGATGGCACACCCCAAGGGTTATCAGGCTAGGGACTCCCTGGCCTCCAGTGAAGACTGTAGGGCCCATGCTCTCTGTGCAGGCCCCTACCCTCAGCCACGTCCTCCCTTGCATCTCATATAATCCTTCCAGTGTCTCTGTTCATGTTACGTCAAAATCAGATAACTTCAGATGAGGAAACTGAAGGGACTGACTGAGTCTGTGTGAGGCCAAAGGTAAAGGTTCTGTGTCATCTTCTCGATCCTTTGGAGCAGTGCTCCCAACCTTCCTAATGCCGAGACCCTTTAACACAGAGAAGTGCTCCCAACCTTCCTAATGTCGAGACCCTTTAACACAGAGCAGTGTTCCCAACCTTCCTAGTGCCGAGACCCTTTAACACAGAGCAGTGCTCCCAACCTTCCTAATGCCGAGACCCTTTAACACAGAGCAGTGCTCCCAACCTTCCTAGTGCCGAGACCCTTTAACACAGAGCAGTGCTCCCAACCTTCCTAATGCCGAGACCCTTTAACACAGAGCAGTGCTCCCAACCTTCCTAATGCCGAGACCCTTTAACACAGAGCAGTGCTCCCAACCTTCCTTTTTCTCAGAGCAGTGCTCCCAACCTTCCTTTAACACAGGGCAGTGCTCCTAACCTTCCTAGTGCCGAGACCCTTTAACGCAGCTCCTTATGCTGCGCGAACCCCCAACCATAACGTTGTTCCGTTGCTACTTCATAACTGTAGCTTTGTTACTGTTATGAATCGTAATGTATTTTTGGAGATGGAGGATTGGCAGAGGGGTCGTGACCCACAGTTTGAGAACCACTGCTTTAGCAGAAGCCCCAAAAGGGACGTTGCCTTTCTTCCTTCGCTGGGCATCTGCTGGCAGTGTGTCCCTTTTTGTGGCTCCAGGGTGAACGAGGTGTCCCTCAGGAGGAGAGATGTGCATATCAGATGTGCCCAGGAAGCCTGGCACCCCTTCATCCTGCTGAACTCTCTTTCAGTTCCTCCAGAGGAGCCTAAACTCTCCTGCGCCCGGAAGAACCCCCTTGTAAGTGCTACTTGTGAGTGGTTCCCAAGCAGCCCCCCCTCTCCTACGACCAAGGCTGTGCTGTTTGTGAAAAAAATGTAAGTGATGGTGGGGGCCGAGTGTTCACAGGGCCCAGAGCTGGGGGCACAGGTCGGGGGGCCGCAAGGAACCGACGGATTAACTGGACAGGGACCATTTTTTTCTTCTTAGGTTTATTTTACTTTGTGCATATGAATGTTTTGCCTCCATGCATGTATGTGTACGACATGCATGCCTATCAGATCTTGTGTGTTGGGTCTGGGGTGGGGGGGCATCGCGCAAAGATGAGAACACCACCAAGTCAAATAAGCCAGAAGCAAACTTTATTTTAGAAACCAGATCCTAGGAAAACCAGAAGCAAACTTAAAAATGAAAAATAAAAATAAAAAAACACCACAGGGCACAGAAGCTTATCAGCTAGCTGAGACCACAGCTAGAGATGGTGTTTGTTAGGCTGTGGCAAAAGGCTGGTTTCTGAACCCACTTTTTATAGTAGGGGCACCAAGCATTAGCTCTGAACAAAGGAAGTTTTATGATCTTTCCCTGCGTGGGTCAGTCAACAGAGACCCTAAGGAGAGACAGTGGTGGGAGCAGTGATGGGGAGCAGGCAGTGATGGGAGCAGTGGTGGGAACAGGCAGTGATGGGAACAGGCAGTGGTGGGAACAGGCAGTGATGGGAGCAGTGGTGGGAACAGGCAGTGGTGGGAACAGGCAGTGGTGGGAACAGGCAGTGGTGGGAACAGGCAGTGGTGGGAACAGGCAGTGGTGTGAACAGGCAGTGATGGGAACAGGCAGTGGTGGGAACAGGCAGTGATGGGAACAGGCAGTGGTGGGAACAGGCAGTGGTGGGAACAGGCAGTGATGGGAACAGGCAGTGATGGGAACAGGAAGTGATAGGAGCAGTGATGGGAGCAGGTAGTGATGGGAGCAGGCAGTGATCAGGAGCAGGCAGTGATCAGGAGCAGGCAGTGGTGGGGAGCAGGTAGTGATGGGGAGCAGGCAGTGGTGGAGAGCAGGCACCAGAGCAGAATCACTGGGAGTGTGGCTGTACTGCAGGACATCAGAAGCAGCGGTGTGCCAGGGCAGGGCCTTGTGCTCTGTGGTCTCAGGTCTCCGAATGAAGGGCCTGGAAAACCCCAGCACACGTGAAGAACTGCCATACTACAGAACCAGTGTGGTGACCAGTAAGGGCAGTCTCAAGGTCCACCTGAGTCAGAGTTGGGTACCTGTTTTCAGGTGGCAGGGAAAGAGGAAGTGGGGGGAGGGGTGTCTCAGGTGGAAGGTGAGGCAGGGTGGTCTCTGACCTTTATTGACCTTCTTCAATCTTCAGAATTCTTTCTTATTCTATCTTCTCCCTTCTGTTTTGTGAGCTTTGGTAACCTGAGAACACATCCAAAGGCTGCTGCATAACCTGAGGGGAGATCTTTTGAGCCCTGGGACTGGGAAGGACTTTTTTTTTTTTTTAATTAGATTCTGTTTCCTTTATAGTGTGAAGGACCAGACCCAGGAAGAAATTCACATTGAATAGGGAGAGAGAGAGAGAGAGAGAGAGAGAGAGAGAGAGAGAGAGAGGAGAGAAGGGGAGAGAAGGGTGGGGGAACAGAGCTAGCTCTAGAGAGTCCCTCCCCTCCACCCTCCTGCACTGGCTGGGCTCTGCCTTAGACCTTATCAGATGAGATGGGTTTGACGCCATTAGCATTCTCACTTTCTAGGGAGAAAAACAAACACTTGGGTAGAAAAACTAATGGGCGCAGACCTCAGCTGAGTAGAAGCCTGGAAGCTAACCATCAGTTCCCAAGCTTTCAATCCCTGGGCCAGACTTACTTCTCTTGAGAAAGAACAGAATTTGCTAGAATGTTTGTGCCCCTTCTGTTGTACCACACAGCAACACTGCCAAACCAAACAGTGGCTTCCAGTTGCCCTGCCCGTATTCTCAGAAGTTCAGAAGCTTCTCCTGCCAGGTGGAAATCCTAGAGGGTGACAAAAATTACCACGTAGTGTCGCTGTGCGTTTCAAACAGTGTCGGAAGCAAGTCCAGCAGCAATGTGGCTTTTCACAGTTTAAAAATCGGTAAGCAAGTCCCATCCCCGCAGCTGCTTCTGTCTACCTCTGGGAGAGGCAGGGGAGGTGTGCAGAGGGGCTCGGGAACTGGCTTTTTAACTGCTGAGAAACGGATGGGGTCTTCTCAAGATGAACATAGGAGTGATCCATTGATGAGTTCTTGCCTTACTGGGTGCAAGCCTCTAGGGTCCATTTAAATAGATACAATTTAAACATTTCTGGGGAGTGGTGTAAGTCTGCCTGGGAGGGGGGGGCGTGTCTGCAGAGCCTTTGAGGGTTTCTTCTGTACCATGCTTGCTGCTGCTTAGAAGCCTTGTTCCCACTCCACAGTGCGGCCTGACCCCCCTGTGAATCTTGTGGTGTCCGCCATACCTGGAAGGCCTCACTGGCTCAATGTCAGCTGGCAAGACCCTGAGTCCTGGGACTCACGCTACTACATGCTGAAGTTTGAGCTTCGATACCGACCTGTGTGGTCGAAGACGTTCACGGTGTGGCTGGTAATTCATTCTCTTCTGGAGTTTTACCCTGTAGTAGCCTTGAACTCATGACAGTGCTCCCACCTTAACCTCCTAAGTGCTGCAATTACTAAAGTGCCCAGAGCAAAACTGTTTCTAAACAGAAAAATGCCCCTAGATCCTTGGGGAAGTAGGACGCTAGAAAAGAAATGGGTTCTGGGTCTAACTTTGTACCTTTCTATTCTTCATAGTCTTGGCTGTGTCCTTATAAAATGAGGCTAATAATGCCAGACCAGACCCTGACCTGTCTGCTCGTGAGGACTGTACAGGCTCTATGTAAAGCAAGACTGCAGCTTGTAGGGTTGTGGAATCCACAGTGATTTCAGCCTGTGGCTGAGAACAGTTCCATGTCTCTGGGCCTCCAGGGTGGTGTGAGCCTGTCTGCCAAGTGGAGCGGTCAAGGGTGCTCTCTCCCTCTAGCGCTGCCCCACCAGGCCGCTGGGACTCACCGTGTGTCTGTCCTCTGCTCCAGGAGGCCCAGCACCAGTGCATCATCCGTGATGCCTTGCGAGGAGTGAAGCACGTGGTGCAGCTCCGTGGGAAGGAGGACCTTGAGACCGGCCAGTGGAGCGAGTGGTCCGCGGAGGCCACCGGCACTCCTTGGATAGGTACCTGGGGCTGTGTGGAGGGAGCTTGGCGGGCGTCTCAGCGCCCGAGTTTAATATGGCAAGCCGTGCTGAATCAGCCTCCCCACCCCTTCATTTCATTTCGTTGAGAGAGTGCTTCATTTAGTCCTGGCAGTCCTAGAACTTACAATATGGTCAAGAAAACCCTGAATTGCTGATTATCCGGCCTCCATCTCTCAAGGACTGGGTCACTCCATGTGCCGCAGTCCTAAGTCTGCCAGCTTGTCTGCACTTCTCGCTAACGCAGCTGCTCTCAGGCCTGGAGGGTCAGAGTCTAGCTGCACTCATCCGAGTCCGGGCCCTTTTCTCCGTGTGCTCCCTCCTTCCTAGTAGGTGCGCCTAAGTTGACGGCAGCAGGGAGGGGGGTGAGGGCAGAAGGATGGAGGCTCTCAAAAGAATTATAGGTGTGATGCTATTTATCTTTAGGAAATGACAAGGTGATAATGCTTTGGGGGAATTATTAAAAGCTCCCAAAACGTGTATGTGAGTCCCCAGTCCCTGCTATGACAAAAATCTGAACAAATCAGCTTAAGGGAAAAAGAATTCTTTTGATTCAGGGTTTCAGAGGACAGGACCCCGTTGGCTGGTTCCATTGCTTTGGGTCTGAGGTGGGACGGAACACAGTGGCAGAGAAGGTGGGACAGACCCGAGCTGCGGACCCCTGGGCACAGAAGCAGGAAGCAGGAGTAACCGAGTAGGACGGGATGTCCCCTTCAAGGGGGTACCCAGAATTGCTTTCTCCAATTAGTTCCCACCTCCCAGTAATATCACATTATGATTCCAAGTCAGGCGTGTTGGTACATGCACACCTTCAATCCCAATACTCGGAGGCAGAGGCAGGCGGATCTCTGAGTTTGAGGCCAGCCTGGTCTACAGAGGGAGTTCCAGGACAGCCAGAGCTGCATAGTGAGGCCCTGTCTGGAAAAACAACAGTAATAATTGAAGAGGGTAAGTCAGAGGCAGAGCCTGAGCCGTGCGTTCTGCACTGTATTAAGACAAGCCCGCGGCAGGTGTGTGTCAGCTGTGCTTCCTAGCCAGACCTAACGTCACGCTTCCAGTAAACTCTAGGAAGCTGCGAGGGAGACAGTCACTATCAGCAGTTTGTTGCTTCAGAACTCAATAGGTAACCCAAACTGGGCTCAAATTCAGACTCAGCCTCCCTATTTGAGAGGTTACAGGCAAGTAACCTCTCGCCACTCCCATCTCCTGAGATTTTATCAATTAGTACATGCCCGTGGGAAAGAGTTCAAAAGACTCATGATTCTGCCTGTCAGCTGGTACCTGCTTTCCTGAACCTACTTTTATGATGACACTCCAGAACGAGAGAGGGGGGGGGAGATTACCCTACTTCTTTGATGACATTTCCCAGAGATGCATGGCTCACCGTCCCTTGCAGCAGGGCATCTCGTTGTCCTCAGCATTTGCTCTAGAATGGATCTGGGCTCATTTTGGGGGGTGGGTTACATCTCCCCAATCCTGTAGCATACTTGAACCAAACTAGTCATGCTTACATTTTAGCCAGAAAACCTTTATCTTCAATGTCACTGATTAGCAATTTCCCAACCAAGGCTCCTACCCTCCTACCACGGTCAACAACACTCCCTACCCCCACCCCACCTTTCTTGTTTGTTTGTTTGGGGTTTTGTTTTGTTTTTCTAGACAGGGTTTCTCTCAGTAGCTTTGGAGCCTGTCCTGAACTCCCTCTGTGTGGACCAGGCTGGCCTTGAACTCACAGAGATCCAGAGTGCTGGGATTAAGGGTGTGCACCTTCACCACTGGGCCCTGATAGGTGGGCACAATGTCGTCCTAGTCACTTTGTGAGGGTGTAGCTTATGGCGCTGTGCGAAGGCATTCCCGTACAGACCAACAGTCGTTTTGCCTTCTGTCTCAACAACTTCGTTTGAGACAGTTTCATGACCCACGTTAATCTTGAACTCACTTTGTAGCTCAGGGTGATGTTGAACTTCTTGTGTTTCTATGTCCGAAGTGCTGGGATCACAGGTGTATCTCACCACACCTGGTTCCTATGGTGCTGAACACAGGGCCTCGTGTTTGTTAGACAAGGACACTACAGATTATGCTACACTCCCTGCCCCAGTCATGAGCTTTAGATAGTCATAAGCAGCTCTAAGAATTCTTGTTTGAGGGCTGGAGAGATGGCTCAGGTGTTAAGACTAAGCTCTCAACCAAAATTACAAGAATTCCTGTTTGGGCCGTGTGTGTTGATGCACGCCTTTAATCCCAGCATTTGGGAGGTGGAGGGAGGTGAATCTGAGTTCCAAGCCAGCCTGGTCTACAGAGTGAGTCCTAGGACAACCAGGGCTACACAGAGAAACCTGTCTGGGAGAAAAAAAAAGACTTACTGTTTGAGGACCAGAGAGGTTATTCAGTGGATAAAGCCTTTGCTTTTCTAGAGAATTCCAGTTTACTTCTAACACCCACATCTGGTGACTAACAACCAACCTGTAACACCAGCGCCCTCTTCGGGCTTCTGCACAGAATGGACACACACACATACACACACATGCACACACATATGCACATACACGCACACACGCATGCACACACGCGTGTACACATGCACATACACACATGCACGCACACACGCATACACACACGCGTGATACACACATGCACGCACACATGCACACACGCGCACACATGCATGCACATACACACATATACACATGCATGCGAACACAGGCACACACGACTTTTAAGAACCTTGACTCCTGTTGTTTTCTTTGCTGTGCTAGGAGGCCCAGGGCTTTGATTTACCACTGATTTACATCCCTGGGCTCAGTCCACAAACAGCTTCTTCAAAAAAAATTTTTTTTTGGCTAGGTGTGGTGGAGGCAGGGGCATTCTGTGAGTTCGAGGCCAGCCTGATCTACGTAGTGAGATCCTGTTTACAACAAAAGTCCACAGCTTTTTCTTGATGGTGGCACAAGGTGCACGGCATAAAATTTACTTTGAAAGCTCTTGCAGGAGATTTTTGAGGTAGGGCCTCGTGTGTTCCAGGCTGTCCTGAACTTTAGCTCCGAGTACTGGGATTGCAGGCACACGCCCCCACCCCTTGTTGTTATAACTCTGTGTGTGTGTGTGTGTGTGTTTGGAGGCCACAGGTCAGCCTGCTGTGTTCTTCCTCATGTACTGTGCCCCCACCCCCCGTTTTTTGCTATAAGTTTTCTCGTTGGCCCCTGTGCTTGCTGAGTGGGTTATGCTGGCAGAGTAGAGAGACCCTGGGATGTTCCTGCCCCCATCCCCTTACCCCCAAGGCATGCCCCCACACCTGTTTTTTTTTT